TTAAAAAAAAACAGTCTTTAAGAAACTGCATTTTTACTGCTGAACAGCTTAGGTTTCGCTCGCTCCGTGCCGGGATTCGGCGCGTCCGCGGTGGGACGGGCGGTAACGGGCCCACGACCTCCGCCGCGCCCTCTCGGACGCTGCAAGCGGTTCGCCTGCAGCAGTGACCCCAGCGCTTGCGTGATGCGGTCGGCAGCGGACGGGAGCGACTGCAGCGGCTCCGTGTGCGTTCACTTCCAGACGCGGGGGCGCCCCGCAGAGCGCCGTGTGCCTCCAGCACTGGGTGTGCACTCCAGCCCCCCGAAAGTCAGCAGCCCCCCGTGCCGGCCAACTGTCAGTCCACGGCTGCTTAGGGGCTCTTTCCTCAAGGTGAGAAAGCTTTAAAATGGAGGTAAATCTTCCTCCACGGGGATGTCGCGTGAACCCTGATACGAAGCAGCCCCGTAAGTGACTGCGCCAACGGAGGGGCTGTGCGTGCGGCACAAGCACCGAGTCAGGAGCACGTGAGCGGCCGGCGGTGACCGAAATCGTGCCCTCCGGCCCCATCGTGCCCCCTCGGGGCTCGTCGGCGTCGCGGCCGCTGCCACCAGCCTGTCACGGCATCGTGGCGGCCTGCGTGGGAAGCGCGGTGCTGCTGAGGTGGCAAGTAAGTTAGAGGCCCTGGAGGCGGATTCTCCGGATTCCGTGACTGAGCCCCGGGCCCTGTCGCCGTGGGCCACAGCATGAGCTCGCGTGTGGAGAGAGCTGTCAGCTTGGTCTGTAAAGCTGGAGCCTCGTTACGTCAGCTCCCGCCGTGATGGGCCGCGTCGCCCTGGGGCCCCTTACGGGCAGAGGAGGGACACCGGACGTGATGAGCCGGGCTTGGCATGTGTGGTCAGTGGTTTCTGGATGGTTTTCACGATCGCAGTTACTTAAATGTCGCATCAAACGTAACGCGGGAAGCTGACCGGGGACACAGCCTGCTCCCGCAGCCCGGCGTGACCTGCTCTGCTTCCTGCTGCTTCGCAGGCAGGCCTTCAGAGCACAGGGGACGTGTTTCCCCACCCTGACTCAGCCACGTGACAACCAAGCAGTGGAGGCGTCTGGTTAAAGCCGGAGCCTGCGTCTGGGGGCGCCAGGGCCCCATACGCGTGTTTCCTGGGGACTGTCGGCTCACAGCCTCACAGGACACGGCGATTGGCCTGGGGCCTGCTGCTAGGCCTCAGTGCGATGCCCTCCACTACCCAGATGTCAGTGGAGGAGACGCCCACGGGTGTTATTGTCCCTGCTTTAGGGAGAAATTTTATGTCAGAACAAAGCAAAACAAAAGCAGCTTTCTCCGTGGTCACAGGGGGATGCTCGGAGGCGTCGGGTCAGGCCGGGGGAGGAAGCGGTTCTCCCCCTCCCCCCAGCACTGGGCTCGGCGGCCCTTGTCCTGGGGTCCAGCCGCAGGCTCAGTCCCTCGGACCTCAAGAGGTGGTGGTGTTTCCCAGTTCTGTACCCCAATCGTCAGCCCCCGTCACTAGGCTAAGATGGATCAAAGACTGAATTTTAAAATAAGCGACAAGGTGCCTCAGGGCGCCGGTGGCAGGTGCGTGGACACACGTATGATGTGCGTCAGGAAGGACCCAAGCACAGGAGATGCAGAGAAACGGGCCGCGGCCAGGGCTCGCGGTGCGGCCGTTGGTGACCAGAGCCGGGTCCCCGCCACGAAGACTCAGCCACGCCACCTCCGCCCCGTGAGGGCAGCGCGACTGTGCGGGCAGCGCGGCTCTGAGCCCGTCCTCGGTCTCTGTCCCCAGTCGCTGCGCGTGGCAGTCACACTCTGCTTCCTGTTTCCCCGCAGGTCGCCGCCATCAACCCGAACCACCCCCTCGCACAGGTGCCGCTGCCCCCGTCCATGAAGAACTGCATCCAGCTGGCGGCCTGCGAGGCCAGCGAGCTGCTGCCCATGATCCCCGACCTGCCGGCCGACCTGTTCACCTCGTGCCTCACCACCCCTATCAAGACCGCCCTGCGCTGGTGAGTGGGCTGCCGGCCATCTGGGCCACCCCGGGGACCCGGGTGTCACGGGCCCAAGGGAGTCTCAAACGTGACCCTAGCCTGGGGGTGCTGGGCCATCCTCGGAGAGTCTGCCGCGTCTCCCGCTGGCGCCGGTCACCCGTGTGCTTCGCTGCCATGCTCCTCGTGCGGGGGGCGTGCGTGGTACCAGGACAGGCCCACCGAGAAGCCCGCCTTCCTTCGAGAAAGGAAGAGGCCGTCACGGGAAACAAGTTGCGTGCTTTGCCGGGGTTGACATATAATCTTTCAGTTTATTCTTAGCAGTAGAGTTCGGCAGCTCAGAGTTCTTGCAGTCGGGACTGAGGAGATGCGCGGGTGTTCCCGGACAGTGGGGCCCCGCACCTCTGGCCAGGCTCACAGCGGGACACGGACGCTCCCCTCCCCCGAGCCCGCTTTCCCCCGAGACCACCCTGTGCCTCTTGCGTTTTGTCTGCGCTGCGGAGCGCGTGTGCACTAGCCAGGCCGGCCCGCGGTGGGGCGTGTGCAGGCCGGGGCCGCTGTGCTCTGCACTCCGTGTTGTCCGGGCTCCCATGGGGGGAGGCCCACCAGTGCAGACTCCTGCACCCCCCAGGGCCCCGGAGAAACTGCCGAGGGCTCTGCTTGGACAGTGGTCCCCGACCTTTGTGGCACCAGGGACTGGTGTTCCTATGAGCATCTAGCGCGTGACAGTCCGAGGCGGAGCTGAGGCGGTGATGCTGGGAGCGGCTGCAGACACAGATGCAGCTTCGCTCACTCACCCACTGCTCACTTCCTGCTGTGTGGCCAGGTTCCTGACAGGCCCTGGACTGGTACCAGTCTGCGGCCCGGGGGTTGAGGACCCCTGTGCTTGGAGACCCGCCTGTTCCCAAGGATAAGGACATGCTCTGACAACATTGGGCACAGTCACTAGCGAGTGCTGCGTAGACATAACACAACCTTGCTCTGTGTGTGCAAAACACACATGCATGTAATTGATGGCGAGTGTATTTGTGATTCTTAGTAGTTCCTGGAAAACACTGTTTTCTGATTTATTTTTCACTTTTCCCTCAGTCTTTCTAATTTTCAGAAACCGATCATTTCAGTAATTTTGAAATGAGCGGTGACATCACTTTCCATGGAAGCGATAACCTTGCCGTGAATACGACCGTTGTGTAGGAATCCAGGAAGTATTTTTTTCTTTGAGTGGAGAACGCTGTTTTAAGTTTACTGTGGTGTGTTTGTGTATTGCCGACAGTGAGAACTCTCTGGAACTAACGTGCTGCGGGGCCTGCTGTAAACAGGCGGGTGCCTGTCGCATTCTGCAGCCGTCACACACCTGGTAAGGGACGTGACGGACGTTAGTTCGGATTGAATAGACGTCAGGACGCTTGTTTTCGTCCTTTCGGTTAAAGTGAGGAACTTCCAGGAGCTTAAATGTCGCTGACACAGCATTGCCGCATCCTTGTCAGCATGGACAGCTGTGCCCTCGTGTTTACCCGCAGGAGGTGGCCGGCGCAGGCGTCCCACGGGGCGAGTGAGGTGGGGCGCCCACCCCATCTCAGCGGCCGTGCCGCCCGCCTGGTCCCTCGGCCCCGGGTCGGTCAGAACGGCCTGTAGAAACATGAATTCTGCTGGTTTTATCGTGAGGTTGACCATTTGCTCTCTGCAGAGTTTTCAAAAATACAATTTCTTCGCTAGAGAACAAACTTTCTATTCGTTCAATGATCTGGGTGTTGTGAACTTTCTCTGCTTTTAACAAGGTGAGGAAGGTGACTGCCTTCTTACATCTGCAGACAGAGACGGTCGGGGGTCTCTCGGAGCACGAGGCCATCCTGGCACGTTCGAGAGTAAAATGGTCTCACCAGCCTCCTCCACACCAATGTCACACTTGTGTCCTCGGCCGCAGGCGTGGGTGATTTAAATTGGAATTTGTTAAACGGCTTTCTCCTCCGGTGGCCTTCACAGTGTGGCTCCAGCCATGGTCTGGTCCTGCGTAAACCCCAAGTGGTTTCGGGGTAATTTCCGAAATCGGTCAGGTTATGTAATTTGTCATGTGCCACCTTGAGGAAGGTACTTTTTCTCCCCACTGTTCCAGCCTCTTGACGTGAGCTCGATTAAGATGAACACCATAATGTATTATAACAGAGCTCCTTTCAAACGCATTGACGTGCGAAAACTTGATTTATGCTGCTGGGAAGGAGCATGGAACCAGAGTGGCAGGGCTGCCGACGCCCTCCCCCGACCCGGGTGCCACAGGAGAGGGGGAGATTGGCGAGTCCACGCAGCACCAAAGTCGGGGACGGCGTGGGGCCCTCGGGGACGGCAGAGGCCATGGCTGTGGGCAGGTGGGGATCGCAGGGGGCGGCGAGGGTGGGCTTCTCGTTGGGCACATGGCCGTCCCCCGTTGCCCTGGACGGGTCCAGCGTGCTCTGTCGGATCTGCGCTCGGAAGGAAGGAAAGAAGGTGTACTGCCTCTTCTTTGTGGAGGAACCTGCCCCCAGGAGAAGCAGGTGCTGCACAGGCGGAAACAGGGTTTACAGTGACGATGAGAGCAGCCATGCTTAGAGCCACGAGGGCGAACGCTGGGAACGGAGAAAGAGGCAGCTAGGAAGAGCCGTCAGTTGGCGACACGGGGCACGGAAACTGTAATGGGCGAGATGAAGGACTTAGGAGTGGAGTGAAGAACAGCATTCTGGGTAGAGGCACAGGACGACGCGGAGGGGTGACGAGCTGGGACGAGGACTTTCCACCCAGGAGACAGACAGGAGGAGAGACCAGAGGCATAGTTCAGGCTCGACTGCCTAGGGTCTCGGTCGTGGGAAATAGTGAAAGTGTAGGTTTCAGTACATCAGAGAAGCAGCAAAAGAATGAAAATAGAACATTCAGTCTTCACTCGAGGAGAGAGAACTTCTTTTCAAAACAGGACGGGGAGAAAAAAAGGAAAGCATAGTAAGTAGAGAACGCGAAACACGGTGGCCAAACAAGTTTTGAAATAAAAGTGATTCCCTGACTGTAAATGAGTTGAATTCATTTCTCAAAGGACGGTGATTGTCATGTTGGATGAAGATCAGTGGGGTACAGTGGTCTCTCGTCTGTAGGACACGTGTTTAAAACCAGATATCTGAAAGGTTGAAAATCAAAGGACGAAAGAGGAGAGACAGGAACCAAAAGAAAGCCGGCATGGCCGCGTCAGTGAATCAGAGCGGAACCTCGGAGGAAAATGTTGGACAAAGAAAGATGCTTCATCGCGGTGAAGAGCAGATCGGGGGGCCTCACGGATCCTGGCTCTGCGCATCTCAGTGCGGCCGTGGGGCGCGTGCGCTGATGCCGAAAGACCTGCTGTTGGGAGCAGGTGGCGAATCGAGAATGTGGCAACTGAGACAACGAGCAGATGAAACGCGAGCAAAACAGGACCCGGCAGCAGGGCTGGGCAGCCCGAGGAGGTGCGCAGGACCCTGTACCCAAACGAACGCAGGATACACTCACGAGAGGAAACCGCCAGGTCACCGAGGGAGCTCTCGTGATCCCAGGGCCCGACGACAAGCCCGTGGGACCGCGCCTGCCCGTAGCCTCGCTGTCGGGCTGAGGGTGAGGTCACGGGGCAGGGAGTCCCTGGTCGGGTCAGGATCGAGCCCAGTGCCCCGGCCCCAGAGCTGTCTGATGCCGGGCTTGTCGTTCGCGAGGTTTGCCGTCCGGTACTCGTCATCCTCGTCTTACTCTCTTCCTCTCGCTTTGGCGGAGTCGTGGACGGAGTCGAGACCCTCTGCGTTTAAGGAGAGGGCATGGGGACCGACTGACCGACCTGGGGGAGGACAGACCACGTGCGCCCTTCCACACACTCGCTCGGTAGGGAAGCTAGAGACGCGTCCTCCGGGGCTGGGAACAGGGTGAGGAGTCTCCCTGGCGTCCGGCAGTCTCAGAAGTCCTGGCCATCGCGACGACAAGGAAAACGAAGAAACGGTAGAGGAAGCATAAGAATTCATCATTGTCTGTGTGCAGCGTGGGTCACACTTCACCGACGCCGGGATGCGTGTCCGCACGTTCGCACACGTCCGGGATCCCGTGCATCGCACAGCGAGCAGCATGTCTCTTAATTGGCAGCACTTCACTGTCTTGGTGTGGTACATGGAAGTGCTTGCAAAACCCACTTAGAGATGCACTGTACCCTCTCCTGCACTGTTTGTGAGGTCGCTTTTTATCACGAATCGTGGGTGACGTGTCACAAAGGCAACAGGTAGTTCCTGCACCAGCTTTACGTATGCCAACAGCACTTGGCCTCAAAATCATAATGGTTATTATAGATTTTAATTAGAAAAGTCTAAAGCTTAGGGATTTTCTCTATAAGACCAGAAAAAGAGAAGCACGCTAAACTCTGACTAGAGCAAAGGAAATAATCGAGAAGAGCCAAAATAAACAAAACAAAATAATCTAGAAAGTTCATGAAACTAGATAATAGGTTTTGAAAAATCCAGTGAAATTGTTTAAACTCTAGCTAGAATGGTCAAGGAGAACAGAAAGAAGACACAAATGGTGTCAGAAATGAAGGGGGGAGCATGGCTACAGACCCCACAGGTGTTACAAGGATAATAAGGGAGGTTTTTTTTTTAAGTATGAAAGACTTCACGCTGACCAGTTCTACATCTTAGGTGAAAGGGACGAATCCTGTGAAGGGCGCAGATTACCAGCCTGGCACAAGAAGAACAGGAAAATCTGGATCGTTTGTATCTCATCGAGAAACTGAACCCCCTGGTTTAAAGCCTCACAAAGAAAAGTCCAGGCCAAGATTCTCTCTACCATTTGAAAAAGAACTGACATGAATCGTCACGCAAACTCTTTCTGAAAACAGAGTTGGGGGAACATTTCCTGTCCCATTGTAAGAGGCAGACTGAAAATGAGAATCAAACAGAGATTCCACAAGAAGAAGAAAAAAGCAACATATAGATCAAAATCCCTCATGAACACGAACAAAATTCTAGACAGAATATTCTCACTCGAAGCCAAAC